TGAATATCGAGTGGCACATTCGTGCGCGTTGCACGGAGAATCCTGCTGTAGACGCTGAGGTTTGTGTTTGCTTTAGATGCTCTTTCAACACGTTCCTTCGGAGTGGGCAGGTAGGAACTTGGTTGGACAGCGCATTCATGCACGACAGACAAATATGCACGACAGACAGACAAATAATCCCTGGTGGGCAGTGTGGAACCTGTTGTTCCTACCTGTATACAAGATCACGTGACTTGAGGTAGCCAGGCAGCCAGCCAGGTAGCCAGCCCCCTTAACTATCGGCCCCTCCCCCTTGCTTAGGCACCTCCCCTTACCCCCCCCCCCTCCCTTAGGCCCCTCCCCTGACCCCCCTCTCTCAGGCCCCTCCGCTGACCCCCCCCCCTCCCTTAGGCCCCTCCCCTGACCACCCCCCCCCCCCATATCCTTAGGCCCCTCCCCTGACCCCCCTTCCCTTAGGCACCTCCCCTCTCCGTACCCGGCAGTAGGTCTCCACCAATCAAAAAGCTGTTTCTATTATATATATGTATGCACGACAGACAGTCAGACAGACAAAAAATCCCTGGTGGGCAGTGTGGAACATATTGTTCCTACCTGTATTATTGTCCTATGGGCTCTGTCTCAAATTTGGCTTTGGGTTTCGTCTCTTGAGATGAATCATCCGCTCGGAATTCCTGCAGAGCAGTGGAACTGGACATGTTACAGAACAGCTCACAGAGGCGGATATCAGAGAAGTACCTCTGAGATCCCGTTCAGTGATCTCTGGTCCACAAATCAGGGCCAGTATCTTCTTGCACCTGCCCTACCATATGAATAGCAATGTTCATTCCATGAAAGGTAAAACTAATCTTTTTAATGCTCAGAATTTAAATTAAGTGGAGAACACATTGTACAGTTATCCCTCGATATACGAAATGGATGAAGTCCCTTAATCAAACTCGTGTGAAACGAAACTTCGTAAATCGGAAAGGCTTCTCCCATTAATTTAAGACGAAAAATTTAGGCCTGTGTTTCAGACAGTATTGCAACTCCACTAACCTAAACATATACACCGATATCACCTTTCACAATGCAATAATAATAATGAAGAACATAAGCATGAACACGTTTGAATAATTAATTTTAAACTAAAGTAACCTTTTCAGGGAGCTCACCAAAAGACCTGCTGCATGTTGCAATGACTGTAAAGGCGATGTGAAGGCGTTACTGTTGCATTGCAGGATGCTGTCGTGGATTGGATGGCGACACAGCCTCCCGTGTGATTTATTTTTTGTTTAATGACCTCGTGGTGCGTACAGCGCGACATTTCGTTCGTGCGGAAATTCGATTTCATTCATCGAAAAGTGTCCATAATTTGTCACTTGCGTTAAAGCGAAATGTCATGAACCGAACGTTCGTACATGGAGAGATACGACCTGTAATATGAAGGTGACTGGGCTGAGACCGTCAAATTACTACACTGGAGAACCTGGGTTGATCACAGACAGTTGCCTGGATACAAACCCACTGCCTCTGTCGTGCCAGACAACAGCCCTGACCGCTGACCCACACGGCTAACGCAATTGATTTACGTCTTACATCCTTGCACCCTGTTCCAAAGTGCGTCTTCAAAAAAGCCATTGCTATTTTAGGGCTCGCGTAATCTTTGCGTTGCTATGCTACCGTTTAATGCCGTGTTTGTATTTTTGTCCGTCTGTCTCCGACCCCTCGCTTTACCCGGCGTTGGTCACAGTTGATGATTAACTGCGGTCATCTTTCCTCTCCGTAAGGGCCCATTTTTTTGAGTTAAACAAGGAAGCGACCCATTGCTTTGACGAAAGTTTCACTGTATGCTCAGAGCATCAGCCCACTCAAACAAACGTCCATGATGTTCTCATTAAATGAGCGTTGGGGCGGTGCTCATATCTCCGCAGGACAAAGCGCTGTTGACTTCCTCACAAGGTGGTAGCGTATTTTATAGACCCCTGAGGAATGATGGGCCGAGAAAACCCCAACCAGGATTTTTAACTCGCGACCTTCTGCCGCTGAGCCACCCGGCCGGTTCAAACGTAAATGCACGTAGGGGCCGTCCATAAATGACGTCACGCACCTAGGGGGGGGGGCGGTCAGACATATGTGACGATGTGTGACGAGGGGGGGAAGTTTGAGAAATGTGACGTCACATCAAAATGCGCAACTCTAAATAAATATAGACAACACGTTCTACTTAATTAAATAGACGTTGTAATAAATGTTTTCTCCTAAAACATAAGAGTGCAGCGGCACATTAAATACGCACTACAATGACAATAGTTTAAAGCGATTTGAAGCATGTTTTATTTTTGGGGTGGGAGAGGCAGAGCTTTGTGACGTCATATTTGAGGGGGGGGAGTCTGACTTTTTGTGACGCCGTGTGACGAGGGGGGGGGGTCAAAAATCGTCCAAAATCGCGTGACGTCATTTATGGACGGCCCCTAATCTCAACGGGCGACAATCGAGTAGTTAAACCGCCAGACTGGCGCCTGATGATGAGCGCAAACATACCACGTTACCGTGGTGGAATGTGGCACTTCGACCGCCGGATTGGCCAAGGTTACCAACAATTCCATAGGGTGCAGGTTACGAGTAAAAATGTAAAATTCACAATAGCTGCCTGTGACTGTGATTAATTCATCATGATTAGGCTCAGTCGTAATCGAGAGAACATCTACTCGCATCTTTCAGATGACTTTTATTTGTATCTTCGTTGTCGTTGTTTCTGATCTCGGTTCATAGCAGGGCATCTGCACAATACGCATGGAGACGTGCATTCTTGGCTTTCCATTGAGGGAGAGATTAACACGTGGATTAGAGAAAACACTCAGGTTACTACAGATTTTCTAGATTTTAAGTTTTCGTGACAGCAAGGATCCATACTCTTTGGTGCTTTCGGTAAAGTCACTTAGGTGAAAAAAAACCCTAAGAATAAAAATAAAGAATAAAATATAAATAACTAAATTAAATCACGACGTTTCGGAAGCAACACAAGCTTCCGTCATCAGGTGGGACAACCACAGCAAAAAACACGACAGTAATTTTGTTTTTTTTTGCTGTGGTTTGTCCCACCTGATGACGGAAGCTTGTGTTGCTTCCGAAACATCGTGATTTATTTTAGTTATTTCTATTTCATTTTTTATTTTTATTCTTATTTTTTTTTTCACCTACGTGACTTGACCGAAAGAACCAAAGAGTATACTACGGACTTTGTTTCAGACATTGCTGACTCCACAACACTGGACACGGTTCAGGAGGGAGGTGATGGTGACCAGTGGGCGAGACTGAGGACCAAATGGCAGCTGAGGAATGGAGGGCATCCAAGAGGAGACCCACTGAGGAGATGGCAGCAGCCCAGAGACAGAGGAAAGTGCCTGAATTGGCGAAAACCGCGGGGTGGCATTGAGATCAAATCAGTTCAGTTTAACAAGTAGGCTTCATTTATTACCGGCAAAACGTCGTACTCGAATTGTAAATGTTGTGGGTTTACTCTCCCACACACCGGTGTGCTGAGCTAGTAACGAAGTGGCAGGTTTCGTTCACGTGACAAACCTTACTACTATTGGCTGTGTCATTGGCGGTTTAACGACACATTTATATTTACGCAATCTAACCTACCCCCCTCTTTTATGGATAAATTCAGTTTGTGTGCAGGTGCACGGTGGATTCTTACTTCGTAGGATCACGTGCAGGGGTCGTCAGTTAAATAACAAAGAGCCAATATTTTCGAATTCGGCAAAAAAAAATCCACGTGAAAAATTTTTTACACGTGATTACGAGGCGGTGGGTCCATAATGAAAAACGTCACGAGGCAGTCTTTGAAGAGCCGCATGCGGCTCCAGAGCCGCAGGTTGCTGACTCTTGCCCACGAGAGATGGCATTGTCACCTGATTTCAAGAACACAGGATGCGATGTTACTATCCTTTGTGCAAGCACTTCCAAGAGTTCATGAACAGTGAGCCTGGTGAAATTTTGGGAGCGCATCGTCAGTAGTGTACCTTTGGTTCCTCGGGTGTTTCGGCCTTTCACACTATACACCCTCCCCAAAGGCGGCCAGCGACAGGGTGATCAATCCTACGCTTGCGTCCCATTCCCAATTAGTCATAGGAGTTGCCTTGTTGTTGATAGCCAACATCCCATGGGACAATTCTGTATGAATGTTCAGTACACTCCTGGCATGGGTTAAGTGGCAGCCCTGCAGTTGCACGCTCGTGCTCGCAGGACCTCGACTAGCATTCGAGCCAATCTACCGGGTATTTGGCCTACTCTTGCACGCTGGCCACACACATCTTGGAAGAGGTGGCAGTCACCACACTTTACCCCGCCACATTGACGATAATACCCATGTACACTGCAGGGTGGATAGAGGCTGTGGGGGGAATTTAAGATACCCATCTCATTGTTTCAACTGGAGTGCCAGGAAGTGGGATTGAACTGGAGACCCCACTGCCATGCGTCGGACGAACACTACTATATCGTTGCACTGCAGAACTTTTTACAGCAATATTATTTTTTTCCATTTGTGTTAAAATGTTACTTCCCGTTGACATGACACGGTGATGCATGGCCCTAAAAGGTGTGAACAAGTTCTCCGAGTTAATTTTTCCATTCATAAATGTTTCATTCACAAAAAAATAGCCCACCATTGGTGGGGGGGAAAAATCCCCGAGCATTTCTCTAAGAGTTGCGTGGAGTTACGTATATAGGCCACTCTCTTCCCGTTTTTGTGCTAGTGACATCATCAGGTAAAATCCCACGCATTTACAAAAATGTTCGGCCCTTACATCAGATTTTCTCAATGAGGACGATGTATTTTCCCACGTTAGATCACGCAGAATTTTAATTCGCCGATTGCGCATAAGCCAATCGAGTTGAGGGCATCGTTCAGCATGCAGTGCAGAAGCCAGCCAATGGGGATGCGTTGTCAAGCTTCGGGCACTAACACACCACCATCACTTGCACACGTGCATGAGAAAACATTTTCACAAAAGTAAATTAACAGGTCCTAAATTTATTTGCACATAAGACAAAAAAAAACCCTCTAGGTTGAATGGGAAAAGTACATTTACAATATCTTACATCGCAGTTATAAAATGGTACGGAATTTAAAAAAAATGTGAAATCCGTAAAAATACTGCACAATGCAGTTTAACTCGCGTAACTCTGTTTTGGACTTTACAATGTACAACACGCCTTAAAACTGTACGCAACTTTTTACACGTAATATATACAAACTATAATACACAATTTAAGGATGTAATCTTATTTCTAAGTAGTGAGGAATAAGGTTCCCTTAAGAATCCCACGAATTTTTTTGTTACCTTTTCCACCATTTTTTGGAAGAATATTCAGAGTACATTCCCAGGGTTTAATGAAGGGCTAAACGATTAATCGATTTCAAATCAAATCGCAATTTGAAACAATGCGATTAGCAAATCGCAAAGGCTGTGATTTAAAAAGTCGTATTACGTTGTTATTGGAATTGTTTGATGTTTTATTATAATATTATTTATATAACTTAACAATTGTTTTATGTTTGATTGTTCTATTTCAATTAAAACATTTTAATAAATATACGTTGGAAGCAATTCATATCTTTTAAGTTCTCATCCATGCATTAGTATAGAGCAGTTCATATTTTGATGGTATTATGTGGTAATGCTCCATCACATGTTTTAAATTTATTACACAGTGAATATTGAACTGAAGCTTGACTTAAACAAATGTAATCGCAAATCAAATCGCAATATCTGTCAGAAAAATCACAATTCGACATTTTCCCCACATCGTTCAGCCCTAGTTTAATGCAACATCGACAAAGGTGAGTGGCCAATGGCTCACTGTGCATGCATGGCATTGTGACTACCCCACTTGTTCAGTATGTTTTGGTTTACAACAAAAATACAACTTACATACATATCAGCAATATGTTTTACTCATATTTACTCCATGTAACGAATCGCAGAGCTCTGATGGTGGCGACTGTGAGCTGTGCTATGGGCTCCGAAAGGTACCAGCAACACCGTCGTGGTGAGCCTCTCCCGTCTCCACAAGAGTTAAACAGGAGGCTGAATTCCGCCGGCTCTTCTTACACAGGACCAGAACTGCGTGTGCGCGCGCACACACGAAAATCCCTCCTTCAGACTTTGGTTGAGACAGAAGCACGAGGTCTTGTCGCGCATGGAAGCCTCGGGATCCTATCGGTGGCTGACACGTCACTCTAGCCGAATGTTTTTCATGCACCCTGCTCCACCTCGGGTAGCCGCCTCGCCTCGTAGAACCGGGACGGGAAACCCCGGAGATTTCCCAGGTCTCCGAGCACCAAGGGTGCCTCGATTCGTCATGTTTTGAAAACGTCCGCACGACTTCAGTGAGGCGTTGGCTCTTCTCACCTCCGGTCGTAGCACAAGACGGACTTCATCTGCGAAAGAGAAGGGAAAGAAGTGTTCAGCTGCATGGCCGTTTTGAGTGACATCGGCACGGACGTCGCTTCGTGTCCACACAAATGCGCCCTTGTTCTTATATCTCGCGTGGTCCCAACTGCATGGCCAGTGGGCGCGTACAGTGCGATACTATGGCATGAACGAAACTGACAATTGAGTAATGTATGAACTGTTAACATCACGCGACAATACTCGGTAATGATACATTAATGGTTGAATAAAAATAACAACCCTACAGCGGTTCCAACCGACATAGGAAGCCCCAGAAGTGCCATTTGTTGCACAAGGCGACAATCGGTGATGCCGTGTGGAGGAACAGCAACGGTTCCCAGCGCGACGTTAAGTTTTGATAATCGGTCAACAGCTTTGGAAGTCACGGGGTGAATCTCAAAACTTCTCCGAGGAACGTTCGACAGTGGACAATGCGTCCGCGAGACGTCCCAAGACGTTCTCCCTTTTCAAGATATTCCCCATGTTTGCACCACGCGGGGTCCTCCCGAGTCGCCCGCCTGCTGCTAAAGGGTCTCCCCCCCACCCCTCGCCGCCCCGGTGCTCACCTCGGGCCAGTTGAGGGCGAGCTCGGCGGGCGTCTCGTGCTCCCAGTTCTCCTGCTCGACGTCGGCGCCATGCCGCACCAGCACGGCGGCGAGGCGGGTGTCCCCGCGACCGGCCGCCACGTGCAGCGGGGTGCAGTCGGCGCGTGTCCTCACGTTGGGGTCGGCGCCCCTCCGCAGCAGCGCGGCTGCCATCATCGCGTCGCCCGCCTCCACCGCCAGGTGCAGGGCGGAGCGGCCGCTGCTCAGCTCCTGCGCGCCAGCGGGCGAGGAGGGTGCGGAAAAGGAACGTCGTTGGCGGAGTCGCATGGCGACGGTGTTCCTAACGATGTTCGACGATTCGCTCCCAACCCCGTTGTTCAGAAACTTAATTAAGTGTCTGAAGAAAGCTCCCGGCATGTGGAGTGAAACGTCAGACATCGTGCTGAAGAGCACGTGGTACGAACTAAAAACACATCGGATAGCTACATTTGAGCCATAGTAATTTCCTCGCTTTGTTCTTGTATCATGCTAAGGCGTGTGTTATTGGGTGGTCGCCCGCCAAAGGTTTTTGAAAGTTCCTATTTAGCCCTGGATAATGAAGAGGTTCCCCAGCCCTGCTATGAAGAATGTTCATTCTCTTGTAGCTTGTGTTGGGTGTCTTGCGTGTGTGTACGTAGCAATACTAACTGGTCATACTAATTAGCTATCCTAACTATACCAACCTGGGCATTGATGTCTGCCCCCAGCTCGAGCACGCAGTCCATCACGTCCCTCTTCGCCAGCAGGACGGACAAGTGCAAGCACGTAAGGCCTACGGAGCAAGTAAACTTGTGTGAGACGCGCGCTTAAAATAACCAACCGTAAATAGCTGAAGGTGTAACCGATTATCATTAATAGTGTAAATCGCTGTTAAGCTATAATTATACAGAATTTTGAGATTTAAAATAATATACATTAGTAAAAATCACCTTGAACAAGTGGTTGGCTATATATATATACCGATATTAGCGCCTCTGATTCGTGAGGTTGGCTACGTACGGAGCGAAAGAAGTTCAACATACATTCGTGTATAAATGCAAGTATACATAGAGTGTACATACGAGGGTTAAGAGTATATTGAGTAGTGGTCGTACCGCGGTAGTTGAGCGTGCCAAGGGCTCGCTGGAACTGCTGGGGTCGCGTCGGGAGAGCGAGCGCCCGCAGGATGTCCCCGGCGCGCTGGCTGCAGCGGCACGCGACGTGCAGCGGAGTGTCCCCACGCAGGTCCGGCACGTCCAGCTGCACGCCGGCCTCCGCCAGCGCACGCACGAGCGCCACGTCGCCCACCGCCGCCGCCAGGTGCAGCGGCGTCTGCGGGAGCCGGAGAGAGAGGGGTAGGTGGGTGGGAGACTTCGTCATCGTACAGTCAGACGCTGCTCGGTTTCGTAGAAATAAGCTCCGTCTCCACAAGCCACCGTTAATCACCGACAACCATCTGTTGATCGGCATCCACTCTCGTCATCCGACTCCGTCGGCGGTCTACTTTCACCGCCGTCATTAATAACATTATCCTGAGTTGGATATGTATAGTTACGAATCGGGTCAATTGCGATTAGCCCCGCCAATCTTGAGGCAACCAAACGAAGTGGAGGCGCCTCTTGCATGCAACGACTCCCTTGGGGCCTCACACATGCATGCACGCGAGAGCGACGCTCCGGTCACGAGTCACACACACCTGCTGCAGGAAGTTCTGCTTCTCCAGCAGGGAGGTGTTTGACGTGCTGGAGACGATCTGCTGGGCGAGCGCCGGCTTCTCGTGAATGATTGCCAGGTGCAGCAACCTGTGGCGCACAAAGGGGAGATTGTACGTGAATGCACAGTCAAGTACGTACGGAAGTATTCCCTATGCGCGTGGTTCCCAACACGAGGCCCGCGGAACACCGCCGGTTGGCAAGGCCGTGAGGAGTGGCCCACGGGTATAGAACATCTGGGGACTACTGCCCTCAACCTTACTTGGCAAGATTCAATTGCGATATAAATGTTAATACTATGCAGGCAGTACTGTAATTGTCACATCTTTATGTCGGTAAGTATATTTTGGAAAGAACCATATGATTATGAATTAGTTTCGTCACGAATAAATAATATGCATCGCCATCAGACCAAGCTAATTTACTTGTTTATGGCTAGGCTGTTTGGCAACAAGAGTGTCGTTATCATTTATCGCCCTGGTGCCATATAAACCCATGACGAAGGTCCAAATATAGCAACTGACATCAGCAGCAACCATTTTATTTTCACATGTTTGTCAGTTAATATTCTAAACATGTTAAAGCAGTAACGCTGCAATGTTGCACCATGACAAGTGAACATTGTGCAACTCGAATGTCGAAATTGTGCAGCATTCCTACATTCAGTACAGTGTGGCTATAATTAACCAAATACTTTCAAGTATGCACTTAAAAAATGTTCCCCAAGTACCTTGAGTAATGCTGATACGTCCACATTACACAACTCACAATACATTGTGTGTTTTAGAAAGCACGTCACTGTAATCGACAACATATCCTCTTTGGTCGTGATCTTTCTTTGCTTTTTATCATCAGCCACTATCAATCCACTGCTGGACGAATGCCTCTCCACGCCACCTCTCAGTCTTGCGGTGCTGCAGCACAATAGCTGATTTCTCAAACCACTTACACAAGATAATCCTAATGTAGGCCAAATGTATTCAGGAATTAACCATGAGGGTAAAACGCAAAACATAATTGATAGCTGGTATGGGCCATTCGCTGTTGGACAGTTTGCTCAGATGTCTTACACAAGTGCAGTGCAGCAACTAGACCACCACATTGGTGACCAACACTTAGCTGCTGCTGCTTCTGGCACGAAGATGGCAGCTGAGGCTTTTATGTCTGGTTACCACCTTTGTGCCAACTCCTGCCTCCCAATAAGTACTGCAACGAGTTACAGCCACTCATGAGCAGACGCTGTTGAGTCTGTATTGCTCATTACAGTACATGAATGCTTCCACAAATGTTGTTTACCGAACTGGCAGTGGACGAAACTCTTGTTCATTCTGAAAATGTCATCATTGGCCACGGTGTGTGTTGGGAGTAGCATCCCCATGGGCTCCACAGTAATATGTGTAGACTGCGTGCAGTATAGAAAAGGGGAAATGGACTGTGGCGAAATGAAAACAAAGTGGCGGGCGTTTAGGCCGGCAGACATTTTTTCGTGCAAAAACGACTTGAGTTAAAGTCGCTGGCTGCGGGTAAATTCACGCCCACCATAAGAATGTGGAATTACCACCACTGCCTCAAAAGGCTGTGAAAACTTGACACGGAATTCCGTCTGCAATTCTCAAATGAGCAGGAAATAACTTTATGAATTAAAAAAACAACAACTTGGGCGTTGGGACAAATCCCAGCAGGAAGCGTGGCCAGGAGCCCGTGTTCTGAGGCTTGCACAAGGAACGGAATGTCCCAGACGCATCTCGCACACAACAGCAAGGGCAGAAGTTAGGGGCCACCCATGTAGTGGGTACGCAAAGAAATCTGTCAAAACTTGAGCCCTCTCCTCCCCCTCCCTGTACGCACGCGGACTTTTTACACCCCCCCCCCCCCGCGAATCCTATAGAACGGCCGATATTTAATCCACGCAGAAACGATCAAAGGTTAATAATATTAACGTGTTTAAGCAAACAGATAGTCCACCGCCGGACGATCTAACTCAGTTGAAGGGCAATGTAGACAAATTATTATCGAGGCTTCACCCCCCCACCCCCAGTTTCTTATGCTATGTACATTGTCAGTAGACCCCCCCATACGCAAGCTACGCATTTGGGTTAACCCCCCCTCCATGCGTACGCACTCAATGGATGGCCCCTTAGTTGTGCAACCACAACCACCACCACCAACAACATCCCCTGTGGCGTCGCGAAGTCGATGGCTCCACCACCGCACGCGCGGAGTTTCCATGCCACGTTCACGAACGGGTGGCAGATCGGGCCCCCTCTGCGCCACGGCTCCTTCGCGCCCCGGTGGGAAGGCGTCGTGCCACGGGGCAATGTTTAGCGTCTACGATTGTTGACGGAACACCTCCGTGGGCACACAGTGGTTGCAGTTATAATCGCATTTTGGCGCAGCAGGAATTTTGCCTGATTCGACTGTTGTGTAAGAAGTGACTGCCACGCACCGCTTTTGGTTTGGTGTCACAATGCGGCCAGCATTTGAATAATCATCTGCTATGTGATCATAGCAGGATGAGGGCCACTGGATCACTAAAAGTCTAAACATGACCACAGTGGAGAGGTACCCCACTCAGTTCCAATGTGCTGATTGTAAACCCTCGAGTTCATTAGCATCTCTACTAACTGGAACAACACAATTATATGCCGAAATAACCATTAAAGGATCGGCTTGCTATGAAAGTATATACTGAATATTTGTTTCATCTCTTAAGATACTGCAAACCTGTAAACGTATTTAAATATTTAACACGTACTGTACTGTGTTTACATATCAATGAAGCCAGGTCTAGACGAGACTTGATCAACTCTTGACACAATCGACGACAAGGCGATCACGACACAACGTGGGAGAAAAAGCGACTCACGTATCCCCATTCTCATCCTCCATCCTGAGAAGATTGTCCGTGCTGTGCGCCTGCTGCTGCGGCTGCTGCTGATGTTGACATTGCTGCTGCTGCTGATGATACTGCTGAAGCTGCTGGACCTCCAGTCGCAGAGCCCTCACGCTCTGGTCGTCCTGGTCGACCGAATCTTGCAACGAGCAGATGCCGGAGTCTTCACGATCCTCGTTGGTCATGGACCCGTCGAGATGTTTGGCGTCTTTAGCCCGAGTCGGGATGTCGTGGCGATACTCAGCACCGCTGCTCTCCATGTCTGCCGCGAAGTAAAATACGATCCGAGAAACGAGATGAAAATCCCTCGACCCCCCCCCCCCCCAAAAAAAAAGCTGAAATCCTAAAGTGCCTGCCCGACGACAAACGGCTGCGTGTGCTAATACGGCTTGTCGGGAGGATTTGTCTGGCCGCAGCGTTTGCGTGCTGTGAATTAATCGGAGATCCGTGTGGCCTTGTCTCGCTCGAGCGGGGAGGAAGGAAGGCAGGAGGAGGAGGCTGTGTGTGTGAGGGCTTCGCGAGCTGTGCGGAAGTTTTATGTGACCGCCCAGTGCCGAGGGAAAGTCCGCCCTTGCTTCTTTGTTATTCACGGGAATTTCCCCAGGGCCCTCGTGATGGGGTCGGTCTGCTTGCGTGCTTGTCAACGGGTCACACCACCCACCACCGCCCCGGGCAACAGGGATGCTTTATGCAAAGGCAACATTATCCGGGACCTAAGAGCTTTTGCAAAACGCAACTTTAGGCCGGCGTTTGTTTTGCGTGTGTACTGGGGAACGTGGTACTGTGTTAATTAACACCTTTGACAGGACAGTATTGACAACAACAAACTGCTTGCGTAACGCAAAAAAACACATTTGAACACTTTCACCGGTATCAACATGTTGAATAATAATTAAAAAACGTTAGCGTTTATATAACTCAAAAGCTTTTTTTTTGTCATAGGTTGTTATTTAAGTGTCGGTGGTGGATTTAGTATGTTGTTAGTATTTGACGGCACGTATTATACACTGCATGATATTGAGTAGATGTTTTAAGTTACTTGTGCAACTATCTCTATTGGGTCATAAAATAAGTATGCAATCTTAAACTGCAGGTTCAATATATAATGTCATCAGCCATGCTCAATCCACTGCTGGATCAAGGCATCCCCACGATCCTGCATTGTAAAGATCCAAAATGCAATGCAGTATACATCAATCAGTATTCACAGCCCTTTTGTCAATTGACTACTGGATGAAGGCCTCTTCCACACAGTGTCGGTCGTGAGGGTTGTTTTGACCATACTTCACCACGTTGGTCATTGCGGGTTGGTGAAGTGAAGGCTCAGTTCAGACATCACTCACCACTGAGGTTGGCAACAGCTGGAGTGGTATCAACATCTTCAAATTGCCGATAACAATTATGCGGCAACAGTACATACACATATGCACGTGGGTTAACAAGTAATCCACTTGCATTATCCATATGTAGCAGCTGGCATCGATAGATAGTCTAACCTGGTCTGGTTCATGCACTAATGACCACTGGTATTAGCCATATGTAATAGCTGGCATCAATAGATAGTTTAACCTGGTCTGGTTCATGGACTAATGGCCACTGGTATTAGCCATATGTAGCAGCTGGCATCAATAGTTAGTCTAAGCTGGTCTGGTTCATGGACTAATGGCCACTGGTATTAGCCATATGTAGCATCTGGCATCAATAGTTAGTCTAACCTGGTCTGATTCATGGACTAATGGCCAGGAATCGAACTCTGGCTGCCGCGTTAATCGAGTTGTCAGGTTTTTCCAGGACAGCCATTCAGGAAGGACCCGCAGGGTAGCGTGCAGAAAGCGCGTGACGCCCTGTGGCTTGGCCGGGGTTCTGCTGCCTGAACTTAATCAGGCTTTTGATAGCGCAGAGATAGGCAGGGAATTTACCCATTGGGTCTATACAGAGTGCTCGACACACCGCTTGCGTTCTCACCCACTCCGAAAAAAACTTTGGCCACGCGAGTCGTGGGCTGTGCGTTTGGAGGGTAGGTGGCAGTCCAATGTCCACTTGATTGGGCACGAATGTGTCACCGCACTCAAGTTTTTTTGAGTTGAGTAATTAATTATTGGCAAACCTGAAATGCATTGTTCAATCTGACTAGACTTGTGCGAGTATAGCCCCACTGTACGCATGACTCGTTCCCGGTGACTTGCACGAGCGCTTGTTGACATTTCTGTAGTAGCAACGCCTTGGCATTGGCATTGTCTCTTCGCCGGACCATTGGGACATTGCGTACGAGTGTAAGTGTTCTAATATGTAGACAACTAGCGGGAAGTACCCAGCATTGCCCGGGAGAAAAATATATTTCAAAACTTCTCTTAAAAACAGAACATGTACATACACAAGTACTAAGCTATTGTGAAAGCCCGGCGTCCTGTTTGTTCATTTGTCCATCAACAAAATTACAAGAGGCTTGAAGAAATCCTGAATCCAAAAATAATAAAGTGGCGGGTAAATAGTTGATCTAAAAGGTTTCCTAAAATTGTCGACCTCCCCCCCCCCCACAAATATATTTTTACCCCCCCCCCCCATAGGCATATGTACCTACACACCCTACATACAATAGAGTGAGTAGTATCGAGTGACTCTATAGTAGTATCTGGCTCTACAGTAGTATCTATTGACTGTATAGTATTGTAGTAGTAGCTCCTATGACTACAGTAGTATTGTACTGGCTGTAGTAGTATCTACTATCACTGCAGCAGTATGTACTGGCTGTAGTAGTATCTACTATCACTACAGTAGTATGTACTGGCTGTAGTAGTATCTACTATTACTGCAGTATTATGTACTGGCTTTAGTAGTAGCTATACTAACACTACAGCAGTGTGTACTGGCTGTAGTAGTAGCTATACTAACTCTATAGCAGTGTGTACTGGCTGTAGTAGTAGTTATACTAACTCTATAGCAGTGTGTACTGGCTGTAGTAGTAGCTACACTAACTCTATAGCAGTGTGTACTGGCTGTAGTAGTAGCTATACTAACTCTATAGCAGTGTGTACTGGCTGTAGTAGTAGCTATACTAACTCTATAGCAGTTACTGGCTGTAGTAGAAGCTATACTAACGCTATAATCATAATCTTTGGTTCTTTCGGTAAAGTCACGTAGATAGAAAAAAAATAATAAAATGAATAAAATAATAATAATAATAAAATTTAAAACCAAATAACAATGAATGTAGACTGTAGCCTGGTTTTTAATCGGAGTGATTGTACTGGTAGTCTATAATGTAGACTGTAATCAATGGTTATTAAGAACCAAGAATAAGTCTACATTATAGACTGTCAGTACGCTCACTCAGGTTAAGAATCAGGCTACACCATTCGAACCTCCTTTGCCAGTAGCAAAATATGATAATTGGTTTTTTACTCTTTTATCTGGAGTCATGTTTGCATTGACCACAATACCTGCGGTCGGAATGCAAACAAAAAACACAACTCTGACAATGTATGCACTGTCTTTGAAATTGATTGGTCCACACCCGAGACAGCTTTTCTTAGAGCCTAGTCTCACATGGTGTTGGACCAGATGACGCCAAAAGGCGCACAACTCGAAGACAATGCACCATCAGAGTATGAGAGCTCGGGGTAAGCATTTACACCATTGGAACCTCCTTTGCCAGTAGCAAAATATGATAATTGGTTTTTTACCCTTTTATCTGGCAGAAGGGTTATCTCTCTCATCGGTCAACGCGAAGTCCTTGACCGCGTGTGCTTTTCTCTCTGGCTCCTGTGCTCCTATGTCTGTCTCGGTGTAATTCCAAAGGAATTATGCTCACACTTTTAATTATCGTTATCTTTGCTAATGCTCGTGTCACAGCAGTTAGTGGCACGCTCTGATTGAAGACTTTCGTATTTAAGTACACCAGTTTGATTCAATTATAAGCAGCGTACTGTGTTCTCTTAGGTCCTTATTGGTCACGGTGCGGCTCTGGTCACGGTCCAAGCCACGCTCTAGAGACCCATGAGCTGAGCCGAGCCACGGCTGAGCCGAGCCACGGCTGAGCCGCTCATGCATCTCTGAGATCAACCTGAGCGACTCGAGTCAGAGCGGAGCCACGACTAAGAACCCAGCTCTCCATGTCTACACGTGGGGCACGTGACCATAAGAAGGGAAGGTGAAGAGAATTGACGTCCCCCAACTTTTGAAAGAAGAACGGGGGGTTAGCGGCAGTCTGTGGTGACTCGAGATCCTCACTCATAGTTGTCACTCGAGATTGCCACCGGAGATCCTCACTCGAGATTGTCACTCGAGATTGTCACTCTAGATCCTCACTCGAGATCGTCACTCGAGATTGTCACTGAAGATCCTCATTCGAGATCCTCACTCGAGATTGTCACTCGAGATTGTCACTCGAGATCCTCACTCGAGATCCTCACTCGAGATTGTCACTCGAGATCGTCACTCGAGATTCTCACTCGAGATTGTCACTCGAGATCCTCACTGGAGATTGTCACCGGAGAAACTCACTCGAGATTGTCACTGGAGATTCTCACTCGAGATTGTCACCGGAGATTCTCACTCGAGATCCTCACTCGAGATTGTCACTCGAGATCGTCACTCGAGATTCTCACTCGAGATTCTCACTCGAGATCCTCACTCGAGATCGTCACTCGAGATCCTCACTCCAGATTGTCACTCGAGATTCTCACTCGAGATTGTCACTAGAGATCCTCACTCGAGATTCTCACTCGAGATCGTCACTCGAGATTCTCACTCGAGATCTTCACTCGAGATCTTCACTCGAGATCCTGCCCCGCCTTCGCTGGTTTGTCAGTCAATAACAGTTCACCGCATAACGTGAGGTGGCCTCACCCAAAAAAAACTATCATAAAACTTGTGTACGAAGACCTACTTGTTGAGTTCTTACAACTTGGATCGTGCTGTTTGCTGCTAATCTCTTGACGTTTTGGGCCATGTGCGCCACAACTGTGCAAATAAAAAAAACCACCCCGCCACCTTACGTGGGGAAAGGTGCAGTGATGAGTGCATTGTGGACACAAGCGGGGCTGGGGTGGCTGCTTGCGCTGGCCGATCGGCTTACACCCCTGGGCACCCTCCGTGCTACGAGGCTGCGCGGCTGCATTCCGTCCCACTCGCACTGTATTCACAGTGGCACGTTCAGGGAAAACCCGGATATTTCAGGCTCCACTCAGCGGGGCATCCTTCGGTTAAATGCGCACCCCGTGTCCTGAGCCGGACGCCTAATCCAGCAGTCAAACAGCTCAACGCACTCGTTAGCAAGTCCTGAGAACAATTCCCAAAATCCCACTCGCCATGTTAACTGTTGACACAGATCCACACACAGCATGTGACGACACACCCCTCCTGCCTTTGCTGTACTGTGGCGGTACACATTTCGCAGCGTGTCTGTAAGTTAGACAAATGCGTAACCCACACAATGCTTCGATTTAAAGCTATCATGACTGCATGGATTCATCTTCTTGGTTCTTTCGGTAAAGTCACGTAGAAGGGAAATAATA